AGCTTGTCCCCACCAAGAGGTGGGATGGGGCTCCGGGCAGTCAGAGCTGGCTGTGGCCTCCCTGTGGGATTGCTCCATGTCCTGAAGCCGCCTCTGATCTCCAGGGAGCATCTGGCTCCACGCTCTGCTGGCAGCGGTGTCTGGTGCTGGCTGTCTCTGCTGGCAGCGTTGTCTGGTGCTGGCTGTAACTGTTGTGACTTCTTTTCTCCCCTCCTGAAGGCTACGGGGAGCCACCGGCTTCGGGCACTGCACAAGATCGAGAAGGGGAGGGAGCCATGACTGGGGCAGACTCAGTTCTCATCCAAGGAGCTCTGCAAGGGGATGTCTACCTGGGAGGGGTCCCAGTTGGGAGAAGATGCTCTAAGCTGCCCCCCTTACCCTGTACCATTCTTCTAGCTCTTCCTGCAGCTGCTGGAAGTGGAGGAGATGCAGCGGAAGATGTCTCTGGCTGCAGAGGAGCAGGAGCAGAAGAGCCGAGAAGCGGAGCGTATCTACCAAGCCCTGAAAATCAGGGCTTGCAGCAGTGAAGAGTGAGTTTGTGCTTTGGGAAGAGGGCACTATGTCCTCACCCTCACCGGGCTCAGGTGGTAAAGGATGAGTAGTTCTGGGTGATGGGAAGGGTTGGAACTTGTTCTCTGTGGCCTGTGCTGACCATACCTCTGAGCTTTGTCCTCCATTGGAGCTGATGCTGGTCCTTCTGGATGGACAGAGATGCTACAGGTCCCTTGGGGTCTGTGCCAATGGAGCCTTTGTCCCCAGGGAGGCAGAGGATGAATTTCTGCAACTCCTGTGTGTGCAAAAGGGCAAGAAGCTCATGGCCCGGCTGCTGCCCCACCTGAGCCCGGAGCAAGCGGAAAAGATTCTGCTGACCATCACCCACCACCTGCCCTTCCTCATGAAGAAGGACGTGTTGGATGAGGCGAGCACCTCCAGCAGGGCAGGAGCATCCCAGGCTGTCTCCTTCCCATCTGCTCCTGCTGCAGGGGCTTCTTGGGCAATGAGGGGGGTGCATCTTGCTGGGTCCAGCATGGCCCGGCAGCTGACAGGGTTGATATGAGGCAGGAGCTGTTTTCCTTCCCTGGAGAGGAGGAGGAGGGTTTCTAGGAGGGACTAAAGCAGTGGTGGTGGTGGCAGCAGTTCTCCCCTGGGGGGTGCAGTGTTGGCCATTGTGTCCCCCCACCCCAGGCGTTGGGATGGGGCTCAGGGACGGGGCTGTGGCCATGATAGGTCAAAGGGTCTCAGATCTCTGCTCTCCCCTCTGCCCTGCCCAGTCTCTCCCACTGCTCTACAGCCCCTTGAACAAGGTGGTGGGCAGGATGACTTTCAGCAAACTCATCGAGGTCCTGCAGGAGATGAGCAGGCCCCTGCCCGAATCCCCTGAGCTCCCTGTCACCATGGCCTTGAAGAACCAGGTATGTGGCCCTGAGGCGGGCAGAGCCTCGTGTGGTGGCCCTAGGGTGCCGCCCCCTCTGGACGTGA